GATTGGGGTGTGGACTTGGTGTTGTGTACTACAATGATTGGTAACCCAGAAATTTGTGTTTCAAATGCATCTACCTTAAATTTTCACGGACCCAAAATTTTCACGGATCGAAAATATACATATTAACAAAAGTTTTAAATAAAATATATCAATTGTAATATCAATTTTTTATTAATATATAAAAAGAAAAAATAAGATAAAAACATAAATAAATAAGTATATATATATATATATTTATCTATATTGAGAAAGATAATAATTATACAAACAATCTATTTATCAAAGTGGGGTATCTTGAGTTATGTTTTACTATCTCTTATGTCAATAACAGCATCTATAATAGAATCAAATAATTAGCTAATGCTTTATTCTATTATCTAGAAATAGGCTTGTATTAATGGTAATTATAAAAAATTATTAATTTTATTATATTTTGTCTATTTTTTTTAGTTTTATAATTTAATCTAATGTTCTATAGATATAGAAAAACAGCCACTTAAATTTATATATATATATAAAAAAACAGACAGATGATGCCCATTTAAAATTTGTAAGAAAAATATTTAGAGGGGGCAAAATAATTTAGAAATGATTATAATAAATACTACTATAATAATGGAGATTTTTTTAAATCGGATGGGGGTGATCGCCTCCTCTTGTTCCCAGGGGTGGAACCAGAATTTTATTACCGGAGGAGTCAAAAGAAAAATAATTTTTTTTCACCATATATTCAAAACACACATGTATGTATAATATGATATATACGTTATATACATATATAAATAAATTAAATGCCATAAAAGCAATTTTTAATATGATGAAGAAGTCTGTTTGGTGTAAAATAGCAAGAGAATTCAAGATGGAAGAATAATGACATATATATTTTATACTAGAGGACCATTTATGTATAGAATTATATATATATATACAGCAGTGATTGGTACCACTAAATTTGCACCACTAAGCCAGCTCTAATGAACTGGAAAATCAAAAAAAAAAAAAGAAGAAGAAGAAGAGAAACACAAGAGCAAAACATCCCATCACGTGGGACCCACACCAACATTAGAGCTATTAGTGCTCTTGGATTAGAGGTATGTAAGTTGAAAAAAGATGGTGGCCTTGGGATTCGAAGGGCCAGAGATCAGAATCTAGCCCTTCTAATCCAAGTTGGGTTGGAAAATGTTAAAAGAGAAAAAGTGCTTATGGGTGGAAGTACTTAAGAATAAATACTTGAGGCAACATTCCCTCCTTAATAGGAGAAAAGGAAAGAGTATATCTCATGTTTGGAAAGGCATTCTAAATACCAAGGATCTCCTGGTGAAATGAATGAGATGGAACCTTGGAAATGGATCCAAAGTGCGAGTTTGGAAAGATTGGTGGTGTGGTGAGGGGGTCCTCGATAAGGACTTGTGTTTAGCTACTATCCAAAGCCCTACCTCTGAATTTGTCACTGTGGATTCCCTTCTGGATGATTTTGGTGAATAGGATGTAAATCTGTTGCATACTCTCCTCCCCTTACCTTTGGTTACTGATATCTTGAAAATCCAACCTCCTCGCACAAGGAATGTAGAGGATTATCCCAGATGGGTTAAATCCCCAGATGGAGAATTCTCTACATCCAGTGCCTATGAACTGATTGTTGATCACCAAAGCCAGGAGGGGGATTGGAGTTGAGTATTAAAGCTTAGGGTTCCTCAGAAGCTTAAGAGCTTTGTGTGGCTTGTACTTTATGAGAAGATTCTCACAAATTACATGAAAAATCTAAGGGGCCTAACTAATGACCCGAGCTGCCCGTATTGTGATAGTATGGAGGATATTGACCATTTATTAAGGTTCTGTCCTAAAGCTGTGCAGGTTTGGTGTACAATTTTTGGCAAAGACTGGTCCTCCAATATGCTTCACTTGTCTTGAAAAGATTGGTTCACCCGGAATACAAAAAGGAAATACAAACTCCATTATTTGTTTCTAGCCACGACCTAGACTATTTGGAAAAATCGGAACAAATGGGTTTTTGAACATAAAAATACTCTTATTTTTGAGAGTGTGAATAGTATAACAAATTTTGCTAAGGCAATAGTCCAAGCTTTCAATTTAGACATTACAAAACCCCTCAAATTTAAGAGCCTAATAGTGTGGTCTTGTCCTAGTGCAGGAAAAATCAAGCTAAATACGGACGGTAGCACTCGCCGGAGTGGAGGAGGTGGTGGATTCGATGGGCTATTTCGAGATGAAAGAGGAGCATGGATTAGCGGTTACTATGAAAGACTAGAGATATGTACCAGTTTGGAAGGGAAACTTTGGGCTGTATACAAGGGGCTCACAATTATTCTTCAACGGGGTTTCAATCAAGTAATCATTGAAACTGATGCGGAGCAAGTGGTCCATCTTTTGACTGAAGAACTGGGTGAAAGATGCCCCTTTAGGGGCATTGTGGAAGATGCTCGCATCATCTTGAGAGGTTGTGATTGCTCAATTCAACATATCAAGAGGGACGCCAACATATGTGCCGATGCAATGGCAAAGTTTGGTAAAAACCAACCAGTTGAGTTGCTAATAGTTTCTGAACCTCCACGGGAAATCCGTAGTATGCTAGTTGCGGATATTGTTCACCTCTCTGAGGAAAGAGCTAGGACCTAGTCCTTTTTGTTTATTTTTCTATTCCGATGTACCTAAAAATATATATATATATATTTAAAGTTCTATAACAAATAATCAGTGTGTTTGGTTTGAGTTTTTTAGATTAAGTTTTTTGAAAATTGACTTTTTTGATTTTTGTGTTTTTTTGTTTTTAGTGAATATTTTTTAAATTTTAAACATAGGTCCATCTTTGGTTAAGTCTTCATCGCTTGATAAGGGTGTAATTTGGACGAGCTGAACTCAAGTGATTTGAATTTTTTTTAGAGTGTGGACAAGATATTTTTAAATTCGATACAGCCTAAGGAAAAAATTTAGAAACTCGAATTAAATTTGGACAGACTTAGATAAAGACAATAAACAATCCAAGCAACCCAAAACTTGAATTATATATATAAATATATGAAAAAACATTTAGGCCAAGTTTGGGAAGATCCACCTCTAGGTCCATCTTTGGTTAAGTCTTCATCGCTTGATAAGGGTGTAATTTGGACGAGCTGAACTTGAGTGATTTGAATTTTTTTTAGGGTGTGGACAAGATATTTTTAAATTCGATACAGGCTAAGGAAAAAATTTAGAAACTCGAATTAAATTTGGACGGACTTAGATAAAGACAATAAACAATCCAAGCAACCCAAAACTTGAATTATATATATAAATATATGAAAAAACATTTAATATACATATAAATTATTAGCTATTAGATGATATTAAAGTAATTTAGATTATTAAATCATCAAAAAGACAAAAAGTGCACTTTTTTAGTCTTCCCAAACTTAGCCTTAATATACATATAAATTATTAGCTATTAGATGATATTAAAGTAATTTAGATTATTAAATCATATTAAATATATATTATATACATAAGTAATACAATATAAAATTTTATCTTTTTTATTCTCACTCATAAATTATATAAACTACCATAACAACATCTATCTCACAATATATAAATTATTTATTTTCATGTTATTAATGATTAAAAAAAATACATAAATAAAATCTAATTTTACAAATTAATAATTTAGTTAGGGGAAGAAAACTAAATGAAATTGATATATAATTCGGACAATTCAAATTTAACTTTGATCGAACTTAAGCAGATAATATCGAGTTACAATTCCACTATAACATGGGAGTGAATAGATCTCGTCACAACAACTAAATTTAGACAACAAGGTATCATGAAAAACCTTTCATGAAAATAATCATGAAAGGTTTGTGACCATTAGATTACACTTAGAATAAAAAGAAAAGTTAGGAATCATGAAAATTTTTTCATGAAAATGATCATGAAAGATTTATGATATTTGAATTACTCTGATTAGTGGGTGGTGCTTTATTCTAAGTGTAATCTAAGGATCACAAAATTTTCATGATTATTTTCATGAAAGATTTTTCATGATACCTAGCATTGCTGTAGAATAAAGCACCACACACTAATCAAGGTAATCCAAGAATCATAAATCTTTCATGATCATTTTTATGAAATCTTTTTCATGATCCCTAACTTTTCTTTGTTGAATATATCATACCTAAAAAAAATCAAGTTAATCAGATATTAGAAACTACGGGTATGTTTGGTTTGGATTTGTAGAGTGATTTTGAGAAAAAAATTTAAAAAAACTTGTTTGGTTGGTAATTTTTTCAAAATCACTTTCTCTCTCTAATACATTAATCAATCACTTTTTCTTTCTTCTCTCTCATTCTCAATCACTTTTTCTCTTAAATACATCTACTCAATTATAACAAAATATCAAATCATTCCAAACTCCCAAACTCCAAAACTACTTTCAAAATACACAACCAAACAAACCAAAAAAATTTCTAAACTCTCTTCCCAAAACAAATTTTATAAACTACTCTCTCAAAACCAAACCAAACATACCCTACCTGTTCGGATTATTGAAATACAAACTATTTTAAAAAAAAAATTAATAAACAGTTTTCCTAACATATACTTTTTGATATCCGATCAATTTAATTTTTTACAAGTATGATATATTCAACAAATCTTAAAATGTGAACGATTCAGATCATTATAAGTGGACTCAAAAGTAAGCTCAATAATCCTGCAAGTAGGAAGTTAAGGAGAAAGATCAAGGTAGGAGGATCCTAATTCCATCATTGCTCCCATTCCCATATTTCAAACAACAATACTAGGTATCATGAAAAACCTTTCATGAAAATAATCATGAAAACTTTATGATCTTTGCATTACACTTAAAATAAAGTATCACGTACTAATCAAAATAATTCAAATATCATAAATCTTTCATGATTATTTTTATGAAAATTTTTTTACCATCCCTAAATTTTTTTTTTTTCTTTCCATTTCAAAATCTTTTATAAGAGTCAATCGAAAAACACGGAGGCTTATCTGCTCTCTGTGGTTTACAGACTAGAGCTGAGAGTGTTTTGTTGTGCACAAAGAGTAACAAATATGGAAAATGGTAAACACCCTTCGCCTCTCCAACTCCAACTCCAACTCCACCAACTACCACCACCACCACCGCCACCGCATCAAACGCCGCTGTGGAAGGTGGTGGTGGTGGCCTCAATAGGCGTCGGGGTTCAGTTCGGTTGGGCTTTACAGTTCTCTCTCCTCACACCATACGTCCAGCTTCTAGGCATCCCACACAAATGGGCATCCTACATATGGCTCTGCGGCCCCATCTCCGGCCTCGTGGTGCAACCACTCACCGGCCTCTACAGCGACCGCTGCACCTCTCGCTTCGGCCGCCGCCGCCCCTTCATCGCCACCGGCGCCGCCCTCGTCGCCGTCGCCGTTATCCTCATCGGCTTCGCCGCCGACCTTGGCCACCTCTCTGGCGACCGGCTTGATTCCGGCGCCGCCAAGCCCCGTGCCATCACCATCTTCGTGGTCGGATTCTGGATCCTGGACGTCGGCAACAACCTCCTCATGGACCCCTGCCGCGCCTTCCTCGCCGACCTCACCGACGGCGACCAGCGCAAAACTCGAAACGCCAGCGCCTTCTACGCCTTCTTTACCGCCGTCGGCCAGGTCCTCGGCTATGCCGCCGGATCGTACTCGAAGCTCCACCGCCTCCTCCCCTTCACCTCAACACAGGCCTGTAATGTTTACTGTGCGAATCTCAAGACCTGTTTCTTAATCTCAATCACTCTGTTACTCATTTTAACCATACTCGCACTCAGCACAGTGGGTGAGGATCCAATTTCGAGGTTCTCGGTGGAGAAGAAGGATAAAGCGGTGCCATTTTGTGGGTTTTTCGGGGAATTATTGAGTGCGTTGAAGGAGTATCCGAGGCCCATGTGGTACCTATTGTTGGCGATGGGTCTGAACTCGACTGCATGGTTTGGGTTCAAAATGTACGACACTGATTGGGTGGGGAGGGAGGTGTACGGTGGAAAGGTCGGGGGGAAGTTGTACAGTAGCGGGGTGAGAGCTGGGTCGTTGGGGCTGATGCTGATGGCGGCCGTGGCGGGGGTGGCGGCGTTGGTGGTGATGTTGGTGGTGCGTGGAGTCAAGGGCGGGAACAGGCTGTGGGGTTGCGGTAACCTTTTGTTCGCGGTCTGCTTGGCGATGACGGTGTGTATCACTAAAGTTGCAGAGTCGACTCGGCGGCATGCGGTGGCGAGTGGTGGTGGGACTACGCCGGCACTTGGTGTCAAGGCGGGGACTCTCTCTCTCTTCGCAGTGATGGGGATTGCTCAAGCGGTACGTTTCGACATGTAAGCTTTTACTGTAATAAAATTATTAATAAAAATTTACTGAAACTTATTTGAAAATTGATTTTTAAAATTTTTTTATTATAAAATGTATAAAAATTTAAAAATATTTTTTTAACAATTTATTGTAATTTTTTATTTTTTAATTAAAAACTTTGTTCCCGAAAGAAAGTTTTACCACGTCAATAATTTAATTTTTAGTAAAGTGCTAAGTATTTTTTTATAATTTAAAAATAACTGTTTATTAATGTGAGTTATAGTATAATAAAATTTTCATTACATATGAAAAAAAAATATAAATTACATATAATTTTTCTGATTACATATGAGGAAGAAAAATTGCACAAAATATTCATATAATTTCTTCTTATTCATCTTTACATTTTACTTCACTATTTGGAGTCGGCCCTGGCCCAAGGCGAGTAAGGCGGCTGTCTTGGACCCTCAAATTTTGATAAATTTTAAGGGCCTCAAATAATTTTAATTCTATGGTGTTAATAGGTTTAAAAATAAAGATCCAAAACAACTCATATAATTTCACAATCTAAATTAAAAAAATTTAGAACATCTCCAGCTCTTTATTTTTGTTTTCCAATTTAATTTGATTATAAATTTGAATAAAAAACTTGATTTGATATGAATTACTCCAACTCTTTCACCAAATTTTCATGAAAATCTTTCTAAAAATTCTCATCATATCCCAAAATTTTCTTTTCATAAAATTTGACGGGAATTTTTTTTTTAATCTTCAATATCTTGTTAAATTTTCATCAAATTCAAATTTAATAAATTTTAAATTTAATTTTTAAAAAAATGTTTATCTCTTAAAGACCAAATCAATATATATATATATATATATATATATTTATACTTATAAATCTCATTTAATTTGATGAATTTTAAATTTGATTTTTAAAAAATGTTTATCTCTTAAAGACAAAATCAATATATATATATATATATATATTTATAGATCTCATTCATTAATATGACTTGTATTATATTAATTTTGAGTTTACATTATACACTTTTAAAATAAAAAATTTAAATAAATATTTTTATTATTGTTTATCCTAATTTTAAGAATCTATCTTAGACCTCAAAAATGTCAGCCTTGTCAGTTTCTTGTGAGCCATCATTCCATGAATTGGCATAAAATATCTTACGTATTTCACATCTGATATTTTGGTCATGCAATAGTTAATTATTAAGGTTAAGACATTACGATCATACAATATAAATAAATACGATTTAGACCTCAAAAATCGCAGCCTTGTCAGTTTCTTGTGAGCCATCATTATATGAATTGGCATAAAATATCTACGTATTTCACGTCTAATATTTTGGTCATGCAAGAGTTAATCATTAAGGTTAAGACATTACAATCATGCAATATAAATAGATTGGATGAATTATATTAATGATCGTTATAATTTAGTTTTTGTGTTATTTTAAGTATTGATTTTTTAATTATGACACATTTAATTCTAAATTTTAAATCTTATTTTAAACGAGGACAATTGAAAATATTATTGTTCAATTTCAAGGGTAAAATTATTAATTTAATAAAATATAAATTAATTTGACCAAAATAAATGTTCAAAAAATATTTTTGAATTTTTAAAAATTATTTCTACACATTAAAGATAAAATTATGTAAAAGTGATAAATCTTTTAGACTTTTGTTTATTTTACCAAATTAATTTTTATTATGTATTTGGATGATGATTATGTAATAGATAGTTGTTTTTATTTACATTAAATTAGTTTCTATTTTTTTCAAAAGTCAAATATAGCGACAACTTTGATATCATTATTAAACCAATTCATTAAATCAAAAAATCTAAAACTAAAAATATTTCATATATTAAATATATCGATTACACATTAAAAACCTAACAACCACCCATTACGTGATCATCATCCAAACACATAATAAAAATTAATTTGTTAAAATAAATAAATAAATAAATGTTTAAAAGATTTATCAATTTTACATAATTTTATCTTTGGTGGGTAGAAATTATTTTTAAAAATTTTAAAATATTTTTTTGACATTTATTTTTGTCTAACTAGTTTGTATTTTATCAAATTAACTACTCTACTCTTGAAATTGAGCAATGGTATTTTCAATTGCCTTTATTTGGAATAAAATTTAAAATTCAGAGTCAAATGTGTCACAATTGAAAGGTCATACATCAAAATGATACGAATTCTAAACTATAGGGACTGTTAGTATAATTTGTCCTAAATAAATATATGATCTTAAATTTTATCAACCGAAATAGGAAAATGTTATTTCTACTTTATTTATTTTTAGACGAAATCCAAATTTTACTCTAATGTGCTTCGGATATTGTGTCAAGTGCAATTTTAAAAACCAAAAACAAATTTCAAAAGTTTATTTAAAAAACTGCGGAGCAAGAGTGACAATTCCATTTAAATATTACACATTCATAATATATTTGCTAATAGATGAGTTCACATTGAATGTATGAACCTTTTTCTAAATAAAAATGTAATACTTTTGACAATAGATTCAGTGGGACACATTTTAGTATTTTGTAAGATGGAGAACTAGAAAAACTTTGAATAACTTTTCATAATAAAAATTAATGAGTAATGCTTTGTTGGGTGAATTAATGAGTAATGATATGCATTATGAAATAAATATTATAAAAAAATTCGTAAAACTAATTTAAAGGTGCATAATATATAATAAAATACTACAAATTAATTAAAGGGTGAAAATTTTTCATGAAGGCTTTTCATGATATTTGTTTCATAATGTCTAATATTATTAAATTTTAATTTACCATATACACAAACACGAGATGGAAGATAGATTATCAATTTCAATATGCCTATGCTAGAAATAGAGAGATGATCTTTACATTATTTGTACCGGTCGATATATATATATATATAATAAAGAATTTTATTATTACCTTAAAATATTTAAAGTGATTGTCATATTTTTATGCTTTTGGGCAAGAAAAGTAATTTTTTTATGGGTGTTTTGAGAAAACGGTTAAAAATTAGTTTTGTAGCTTTTTAAATTTTTTTTACTGATTTATATGAGAAATGATGTAATCTAAAATGAGTTAAAAGCTGCCTTTTGACTTTTAACTGTTCTCAAAATGAGCCATGTCTTTCTTGGATTGGCATAATCATTCCATCCAAGCTAATTACCGTACCTATTATTTCACAAATAAGGGTGAAATTTGACATTTTCCATTATGTTGAGCGTGTCTTCAATCTTTTCGTTGGCCTAGCATTTGAGGGCAACAATTGACTATCTCAAACAATGCCTTTCGGAGTCACAAAGACTGCACAATAATTCAATCCCTTTGTTAAATTTAGAATAAATGGGAATTTGATGGCAGTATATGAGTACCAATGTCTTCTTTCAAAAAGCCAATCACTCAAAGATCGTCAAAAATAATATTTATAACTATAAACACATTACAATATATAAAAATTTTAGAGATCAAATATTTTGGTCTCTAAAAGAAAAAATTTTGTTGCAAAAAGCGTTTAAGGACTAATTTCCATCGTCATGCAAATAATCGCTACAAGGTTGTCCTAAAAAGTAAAAAATAAGACATTTAGAGACAAAATTTTGAAAATGTCATGAATAAGTGACTTTTAGGGACACAATAATTTGGTCTTAAAATAGTTTATTTTTTGAGACAAAAAATTTGGTTCTAAAAGAATAATAATTCATTATTAATGTTCAATTTTTGTTACTAAAAATATAACGACGACACTTTTCGTAATAAAATTATTTGATTCCTAAAAAATAATTTTATCCTTAAATTTTGATTTCTAAAACCTTAATTTTTTATAGTGATAGAACATCTAGATATGGGATCATATGCAATTTTATTTACTTTAATTAATTTTATCAATTGAATTACAACATGTATTTGTTATGCTTGTAGCAAAAATATTAATGACAACATGAAAACCATCATGCTAATGTAGTTGCTATGAAAATAACTAAAATTAACTTGATCTTGTCATTTTGTAATTTTTTAAAATTATTTTCATTTAATTTCAAAATAAAATTTTAAATAATCATTTAAAAATCACGAAAAACACGAATTTTATGACAGTACATTTTAAAAGCGTACGGTTACAACGGCGGGGTGTGATTGATAAAATTTTAATTTAAAAAATATATTTTATATTTAAAAAACAAAAATATTTTATGTCTAAATAAATTAAGTACTTTGTGGATGTGCAGATAAGTTACATCATTCCCATTTCATTGGCATCTATTTATTGTAGCAGCTTTGGCGGAGGACAAGGTAAAAGTTTTTGAACCCTTTTTGAATTTCTTTTCTTCATTTTTTTTTCTTGGTGAATATTATAGATTTCTTCTAAAACATTTGTAATGTTTCAATCTCTATAGGTCTTTCTCTGGGAGTTTTAAATATTGCTGTGGTCATACCACAGGTAAGATTTTCATTATCATATTGTTTCAAAAACCCCAATTGTATGCTGGTAATAAGTAATTTTTTTATAAAATAAAATACAGATGTAAGATAAAGTGTGTGGAGGATCACTATTTGTCTTACATCTATATTTTATTATGTGAAAATCATCTGTGCACTTAGATTTACTCGTCATAACTTTGCTTCTCAAACTTATGCATATAAAATTAAACCTAAGACAATGTTCGATTCACTAAATTGAAAGTGAAATGAAATGTTCATTTCGTTAAAACGTTTAATTCACTAAAAAATAAAAAAAAAATACATTACAAATTAAATTATTATTCATTATTGAACACATAATTTTACTTGAGCATAGCCCTCCCCCCAAAAAAATTATTAATTTGCATAAGATATTTAACCTTCACGTACCACATGGGAGTCGGGTTAGAGCACTGCAGGCTGCCGTGAGTCTCCATGGGGATTGTTTTATTTTATTTTATTTTATTTAAAAATTTAAAATATTGATATTATAAGATTTATCGAGCAGATCATTTATGCAAAAATTTAAGTTGATTGGATATTTGTAACTCCATAACAAAAGGTAGGTTTAAAAAAATTAAACGATTAATATGATTTTGATAATTAACAAAAGGTAGGTTTAAAAAAATTAAACGATTAATATGATTTTGATAATTTTTTAAAAGTAAGTACGATCTGATTAACTTAATTTTTTTTATAAATGATATACTTAGTGAATCCTATAATATACAAATTCAAATTATTAAAATAGATACCTGAAACTTGTACATTACCGGCTGCAGCATCCCTTTGTCCACATTATTGCATGGATTTTCAAAACTGCTAGGGGTCACATGCTAATAGAAAGTCTATATAGAATGGATTAGTCTGGGAATCAGAAAATGGATGTCAAAATTTACTCGGAATGCAGATCAATGGTAAAGATTGAATGAGTGTATTGTGTGATGTATATGTAAAATAAATCTGAATTATATATTAAAAATTTTGGATAAATTATGAATATGAATTTCTAAATTTGTGGCATGAGTATATAGAGTGGTGTTTTAAAAAATTAGTAAAAAGTTGGCTTTTTAACTTTTGTAATTTTTTATTTTTTTTTTATATTAAAAAGCTAAAAAGGTAAAAAAATGAACTTTTTTTTAACTTCTTTCCAAATTGCCTCAGAATAGACAGACAACTTGAGATGGCGAGAGTACGTTTCAATTATTGGAAAAGGCCAAACAGTTTGGACCACTTGAAAGTAAGTTGTAATTATGGGAAAAGGCCATTTATAAAAAAATTAAAATAAAATAAGTAATTATTGGAAATGACCAAACAGTTTTATCTAATTGGAAAAATTGCTATTCACCAGGTGTTATGAAAAATTATTATAAAATAGTGAAAAAACTTATAATTTTAATTATTAATATTTATAAAATTTATCACTTTTTTTTTTTTGCATTTTTTTTTTTTTTTGGTAATATTTTTTCTGACATGGGTGTAATTCCCCCCTAACTACAAGGCTGATATCAAGTTTGGCCAATGGTAGTTATATCAATCATCAGATAATGAGATTGTTTTTTTTAATGTATGAGTAAAGCTATCCAAATTTGTTATAGTTTTTTTTACAAACTGGTACTGCAAGGAAAATGAAATTTGCACCAATAAAATAATATTGTCAAAATATATAGCAGTGAATCTCGTAGTACGTCAAATTATAACTTTGATATTATCATTGTGAAAATGATTATTGGAGTTGCTTTAACTCCACTCCTTCTGTAATTATTTCCTCAGTTTGGGTAAAAAAGCAATTTTATGTTATATATTTTTTTATTAAAAAAATGAAGAATATGGTATATTTAAGCATTTTGAGATTGTAATGAAATCCTCATCATTCAATTAGAGGCTTAATCCCTAGGACTAAAACTAACTTGAAAAATATATATATATATTTTATGGATACATTTAAACTGTGCTTGAATAAAAATTTAAAAGAAAATTTTTAAAGAAAAATTACCTTTTAGTTTATTCATTTTTCTTTATTTTTTCTTTTCCCTCCACCAAAATACCTCCTCAAACCATTGACCCAAGCACCACATTATACTTGTGCTTTCCTTCTTTTTCATTTTTTCTATTTTTCTTTCCAACCAAATAGGAAACATTATCCTCTCTTTTTTTATTATTTATTTTATTTTTTTCATGATATCAATGCTGGGTTATTTTATTTTTCACTGGAATTTCTGATTAATTCATCATAAAGTAAAAGTCATATTGTTTTTAAAAAAAAATTCAAGCACTTATTAATATTATTGTACACAGTGGCGAAGCCAGAAAATTAGATTAGAGGGGGCACTTATTAATTATAATTTTTTATTTTAAAAAAATTCATGAGCAACATTAAGATAATAATCATTTTATGAGATAAATTTAAACATAAAAAATTACATATTTATTATTAATAAGAACAAATCAAAATTCTATAATAGTGTGGAATAGGTGTGAGATGATGATGTAAGGTTGCAATTTTAGCACAAAAAATTATGGATCAAAATTTCTATTTTTAAAAAATAAAAATACATCATTTATAACACAAATTATTATAGAATCTATTTAATTTTTATTTGACAGAAAAATATTAAAGAGATGACATTGCTTATTAATGATGTGTTTTGAATGAAAATTATTAAACAGTCTTAAAGTACCAAATGACGTTACCCACATGATGCTCAAAGTATAGAAAATCACAAATCACACTAAGTAATATGTCAACTTACTTGAAAATAATGAGTTCATCATATTTAATTTATAATATTTTTCACTACACTATTGATTTAAACTACTACATAAATAATACCACATAGTGTTTCTAAAGTATCAAATAATTACTTGTGAATAATATAATAAATTATTAGCCAAAGAGCCCCTCTACATTAAATTTCTGACTCCGCAACTTGCATCATTTTATACAAAAAATAAATAAAAAATAAAAAAAATTACAAAACTGAGGAGGCACGTGACCCCCTTGGCCTATGCTATCTCCGCTCCTGATTGCATGGATATGATATACATGACTTGTAGTTGAGGTAACTTGTTCAATGCGGGGGACTAAACTAAGGGATAATCACATGTCAGTGGTTTTTCAAAAAATAATCAGTAGATGAAAAAGTTTATAATTTTATATTTTAATGTTTATAAAGTTTATTATTAATTTAAAATTAATTTTTTAAATATACACATAAGTGTAATTTCTCCCTAAACTAATTTTAGCTAACTAATTTGAAAACAGTTGGTGATTTCACTTACAAGTGGACCATGGGATCAGCTCTTCGGCGGTGGTAACTTGCCGGCATTTGTGGTCGGAGCTATTGCAGCGGCGACGAACAGTGTCTTCCTGCTTGTCTTGTTCCCATCGCCACCACGACCCTATCAGGATCCATCATCACCCTCCGTTTTAAAGATCTCTCCTTCTGCTCCTTCTCACTGAAATGTTTTATGATTAGTTTGTTGGAAAAATGGTTTAAATTCTGATGTTTTGGAAACTTTATGCTAGTTATTATATAGGACCCACAAGTCATTTTTTGAGGGTCCGAGTAGCAATGTATTCGTTACTATATGGTGAACAAGGTTATATAATTAGTGAGTCAAAACCATTTATAGGTGAATGAAAAATTGACTCCAAAGTGAGGTTTATGAACATTAGACATGCTTGTAAAAATTCTCAAAATGGTGTTGCGTATTTTTGTTCCACATTCTTGTTCCACACAGGAAAAATTATGAACAATTTGGAGAAGATATATAAGGTCTTAGACAAGTTGGGTTGCGTTGGGTTGGGTTGGGCCCATTCCTTATTTTCTTGGGCTCAAATTATTTGAATTGATATTAGTTTGTTTGCTGGAAAGTTTGAATTTCATATTCAAATTGCAACGGACATATTTTCAAATTGCAATGGACATGTCTTTTCCGAAACAGTGTTTCCATTGCCTATATTAAGGCAGTCCTCCATCCTTTTTCTTTAAGGGAGATAAAATTTTTTTTTCCAGATCTTCCATTTTCCTTCCTCCTCCTCTGTTCATGTTGCATATTCCATTTTTAGAGGTTAAGTTTGGGAAAGTGCAAAGCACATACTCTGGTTTGCTGTACACACAGAGTTAGTGCAAATTGTGTGTGTGGTAATTGTTGTATCCTGGAGACAGGACACCCATTGATCTCGTGCACCAGTGGAGAGGGCGTTATTCTGTCTTAAAGACACAGTGTCCAACACTGGCCTCAATCACAATTTCATACCATTGTTTAATCTGCTATAAGGTTGTAAGTTTTTTTTTATTTTTTATTATTTGTTTTATTTATTCGTATGTAATTAATTTACCGAAATTATTCTCAAACAATTTTTAGACAGAATAAAATCTCGCTTCTATTTACGGTTTCGGTTATATTAATTTTCTGGTTTTATACAGTTTTTATGATCATACTGTTTAATATAGCACATTTTGTTTTTGTTATATATATATATATATATATTCTGGGTTTGTTCTGTTTAACGTAACGCTTTTCCATGCTATTTAAAATAAAGTATAATTATGTGTTTGTTGTTATATATATATACACAGATTCTGAATTAAAATATGTTTTTAGACTATTTTTCTGTTCTGTTTTTCATATTGTAATTATGTATTTTCTGGGTTGTACTTTTTGTTAACGTTGTGGTTTCTATTAGATATATATCTATATGATAATCGTGTTTGTTTGACTATGCTGATCTGTTTTCTTTTCAAACGTATAAAAAAAAAAATGTCCTTTGGTGAAACGTCATATGTGGACCACTATTATTTATTTGTTTAGTTGGTGCATTTTGTTTGTGGCTTGCCCAGTTCAATTACTTTATGGTTTATTTATATAGTGCTTCAGGTTGTTTATTAGATTATATTTCATATATTAATATATTGTTTGAATCTGTTTGTTTGTTAAGTATCACACGTTGTTTATTAGATTATATTTCATATATTAATATATTGTTTGAATCTGTTTGTTTGTTAAGTATAACAAAACATAATAAGTTTATTTATATATATATAGTTTGTGGTGTTGTTTGCATCGCTTTTGTTTTATTTTATTTTATCAGTTTTTGGTTTCCTGAATTCTGAGGTTCTTTTATCTTAGTTACTTATTGTGAAGAGATTTGTTTGTGTTGTTTTGTTGAATCTATAAGGTTTTTTGTTGAAAATTGAAATGGCAACTGAGATTGCGATTGGTGCTGGGAATACAAACCCCACATCTACATCTGTCATAATTTCAACACCAGTGGTTACTCCTGTGGTTACTTCATTGCCCACCACTGTCCCCATAAACCACAATGAAAAGCCGAAAAAATTGAATGGGACAGAGTTTAAGAGATGGCAGCAGAAAATACTGTTTTATCTTACAACTTTGAATTTGGCAAGATTTATCAAAGAGAACGCTCTCGCCTTGAGCGAGGATGAAACTGATAGGCAAGCAATTGCTACAGTTGAGGCGTGGAAGCATTCTGATTTTTTGTGCCGAAACTATATTTTGAATGGATTGGACAACACGTTGTATAACGTGTATAGTCCATTACAAACGGCTAGAGAATTGTGGGAATCCTTGGACAAGAAGTATAAAACGGAAGATGCGGGAATTAAGAAATATGTGGTTGGCCGTTTTCTTGAGTATATGATGGTGGACTCAAAGACCGTAATTAGTCAAGTGCAAGAGCTTCAGTTGGTTTTGCATGAAATTCATGCAGAAGGAATGAGTTTAAGCAAGTTTTTCCAAGTAGCAGCAATCATTGAGAAACTACCACCGTCTTGGAAAGAGTTCAAGAACTATCTGAAGCACAAACGTAAGGATATGAAGTTAGAGGACTTGATTGTTCGGTTACGGATTGAGGAAGATAACCATGAGGCAGAAAAGAAAAGAAATCCGGGATTTGTTTTCAAAGCCAAGGCTAACATATCGGAGCACGGACAAAAAGAGAAAAAAAGAGAAAAAAAAGACAGCGTCTTAAGCAAAACTCTAAACAAACTGCTAGTCAGAGTTTTGAGATTAGATCTATAAAGTTCAAGGGAAAGTGCTTTGTGTGCAACAAGATAGGACATCGGGCCAAAGATTGTCGGAATCGCAAAGATCAACAAGGTCCTTCCAAAAAGATGCAGTATGGACAAGCACACATAACTGAATTGGAGACTTTGTCTGATGGAGTGACTGAGATGAACCTGGTAGCAGTTGTGTCTGAGGTAAATCTGATGGGGTTGAACTCCAAGGAATGGTGGGTAGACACCGGGGTAACACGACATGTATGTGCAGATAAGAAAATGTTTACTACCTATCAACAAGTTAAGGATGAAGAGCAGCTTTTCATGGGAAACTCCTCTACTGCAAAAGTTGAAGGACAAGGGAAGATTGTGCTCAAAATGACTTCAGGTAAGGAGTTGACGCTTAACAATGTTTTGCATGTTCCAGAAATTCTGAAAAACTTGGTGTCTGGATCATTATTAAGCAAGAATGGTTTTAAATTGGTCTTTGTTTCTGATAAATTTGTTCTGTGTAAGGATGGTGTTTATGTAGGGAAGGGATACCTGTGTGACGGGTTATTCAAAATGAATGTACTGACTGTAATTCCTACTATTAATAAGAACTCTACATCTTCTGCTTATTTGTTTCAGTCTTCTCATGTATGGCATGGTAGATTAGGACATGTTAACTATGATTCATTGCATAGATTAATTCACTTGCACTGTCTACCTAATCTTTCTATTGACTCAAATCATAAATATGAAGTATGTGTTGAGGCCAAATTGACTAAGACACCATTTAATTCAGTTGAAAGAAGTACTGAGCCTCTGGACTTAATTCATAGTGATATTTGTTATTTGAAATTTGTTCAAACACGAGGAGGCAAGAAGTACTTCATCACTTTTATTGATGATAGTACAAAATATTGCTATGTATATTTATTATGAAGCAAGGATGAAGCCTTAGAAAAATTCATTGAATATAAAACTGAGGTTGAGAATCAACTTGGCAAGAAAATTAAGGCGTTAAGAAATGATTGAGGTGGTGAATATGATGCTCCTTTTGGAACGTTATGTTCACAACTTGGCATTATTATATAGGACCCACAAGTCATTTTTTGAGGTTCCGAGTAGCAATGTATTCGTTACTATATGGTGAACAAGATTATATAATTAGTGAGTCAAAACCATTTATGGGTGAATGAAAAATTGACTCCTAAGTGAGGTTTATGAACATTAGACATGTTTGTAAAAATTCTCAAAATGGTGTTGCGTATTTTTGTTCCACACAGGAAAAATTATGAACAATTTGGAGAAGATATATAAAGTCCTAGATAAGTTGGGTTGGGTCAGGCCCATTACTTATTTTCTTGGGCTCAAATTATTTGAATTGATATTAGTTTGTTTGCTGGAAAGTTTGAATTTCATATTCAAATTGCAACAGACATATTTTCAAATTACAACAGACATGTCTTTTCCGAAACATCGTTTCCGTTGCCTATATTAAGGCAGTCCTCCATCCATTTAAGAAAGATAAATTTTTTTTCCAGATCTTCCATTTCCTTCCTCCTCCTTTGTTAATCTTGCATATTCCATTTTTAGAGGTTAAGTTTGGGAGAGTGCAAGGCACATACTCTGGTTTGCTGTACACACAGAGTTAGTGCAAATTTTGTGTGTTGTGATTGTTGTATCCTGGAGACAGGACGCCCATTGATCTCGTGCACCAGTGGAGAGGGCGTTATTCTGTCTTAAAGACACAGTGTCTATACACTGGCCTCAATCACAATTTCATACCATTGTTTAATATGATATAAGGTTGTAAGTTTTTTTTTTTTATTTGTTTTATTTATTCGTATGTAATTAATTTACCGAAATTATTCTCCAACATAATTTAATAGAAAAATGAATCGATTATTTAGAAGTAACTCTTCAGTCAGTTCTAGGTCGTCAATAACTTTGCCCTCCATACCTAATCAAGGATTAGTAATTAATGAAGAAGATGTAGAAATACAGAATGATAAAATTGATTTAAGCTGGAATATCCCAAAATTATCAGTTAAAGAAATTTATAAAACTACTTTTTTACAAAATACATTAAAAGTTAATCTTCATGTTAAAACATTAGAACAAGTTTATGCCTTAGAAAAACCCCATGAAACTTGTCAATTATTTGATGATAATACTATTAAACGTCATTTACAAACTGGTCATAATTTTATTCATTTAGGATTAATTCAAGTTGGAATAAAACCGTTAACTCCACAAGGTAAAAATACTTATGTTTTACTATGTTTAAGAGATGCTCGTTTTATAGATTATAATGATAGCTTAATGGGTATGATGGAAACTGGTCTCCACAAAGGACCCGTACACTTTAATTGTTTTCCTGATTTTACACTTAGTCTTTGTGATCCCCATATATTAGATGCTTTAACATTAAATATTCAATTATATGGTTCATTTACAAATATGAAAGAAAAAAATGCATAATATTGCTTTAATCTATCGTGTTCATTATAAATGTATTAAAACCAATTTAAATGTTCAAGCCTTACATAAAAGTCCTAAGGATAAAACTTTACTGATTCAAAGCAGTAGTAATGATACACATACTAATATTCCTCAAATGATTGAATGGAAAAATATTACTCTCCCTGAACAATGGATTACTGTTAATGAGAATTACAAACATGACCAACAACAATCTACTTGTCAAGATATTCAAGATATTCAACAATTTACTGATGGATCTGTTAAGATTAAATTTAATCGATCTCAATCTTCTCGTCATAGTACTTCTAGTGTACCTACTGATGTTGAAACTGAAGATGAAATATTTAATACACCTCTCTTCAGAAAAAATAGTCAAATTAATTTTGGTCTAACATCCCGTAGTAAACTAAAAGGCATCGATAATTCTACAACCTCTCAAATTAGTAAACCTGTTTATTCCACACACATACATCTCTAGGAAGAAGATACTGAGTCTCAAGACTCTTCAACTCAAACTGATTTCGAAGTGATACCACCAATCAATCCTCAATTAATGACAATTAGTAAACCTTTTGCTCCTGATCTTGATAAACTTCTTATCAACTTTCAGTCTCAAGCTAATAAAACTAAACGCCATGCTTATCATGCTAAATATGATTCTCCTTAACAATCTAGAATAACTCGAAAATGGTATGATTTTATGATTGATTATAGTTTAGAAATTCCTTTCTTTGAATACTTTGAAAATTATTACAAAAAAGTAAATACAATCACAAAACATAAATGGAAAACTTCTCCTAATACAACTGTTAGCTCTAGTCATCCTCCTTTGGCTAATATAATTATTGAACATCAAGGATCTCCAGTCCCAGCCTCTCCTTTTAAGTTGCTTGGCACTGACCCTGAAATTAAGAAAGTAATTGAACAAAATAATTATACAAATCAATGTTTAACAACAATTGGTAAACAATTAGACAAAATAGAAACTAACTTAGAAGATTATTCAGCCAATACTACCTCTACTAAACAAACCTTAGATCAACCTTTGCTTAATCTACCTAGTAATCGTTCCAAAAGAACTAGCTTAGTTACCAATGATAATTCTATTGTTAAGGCAATTGAACAATTATTCAACAAATTATCTACCACTGACATAGCCTCTCCTTCTAAAGATAAAGGTCTTACTGTTTTAAATCAACAACCTAATAATGAAGACACTGTTTTTAATCACTCTGAAACTGATACAACTGATGATGAAATAAATCAATTAATTCAACAATTTCAATCCTCTAATCTTAATAAAATTCATTATCCAAAAGTTAATCCTCAAACTACCAAAAATTGGTATTTATGTCCTACTCCACCTGATCTCCAATACGAAGAAACTAATCTTAATAATCAATTCTTTGTATCTGCTAAAAAATTATACGAATGGAATATTGATGGTCTTAGTGAAGATCAAATACTACAAAAATTAAATCATTTATCTATGGTCTCCAATAGTTATCTTAGTAATTACCCTGATTATAGTCAACCTGAAATTGTTTCTTTAATCACTTCTGGTTTTACTGGTATGCTTAAATCTTGGTGGGAAAAATACCTTACTGAAGATCAACGAGAATCTATTATACATGCTAATCAAAAAGATGAAAATGATTTACTTATTTTTGATGAAACTATTGGTTACTATCACCCTGATGGTATTAACACATTAATCTATACTATAGTTCGACATTTTATAGGAACTCCTACTAATATATATTCTCGCATACCCGATCAACTTAGTAACCTTACTTGTCCAACATTAAATTATTTTAGATGATATAATGATGTATTTATCTCTAGAGTCATGTTAAGGGAAAACTGTACTAAATCTTTTTGGAAAGAAAAATTTATTAATGGATTACCTAGCCTTTTTGCTCATAAAATTCGCGATGTTCTTGGTCAACCTAATGGTGTTATTGAATATGATAATTTAACTTATGGTGATATAATTAGTACCATTCAAAAAGAAGGATTAAGAATGTGTATTGATCTTAAACTTAGTCAAAAAGCTGCTAAAGATAAACATAAGGCTAAATATGAATTAGAAAATTTCTGTAAACAATATGATCTACCTCCCGTAGCACCCTCTCGTCGTAAATCACATAAATACTCTAAACATAAACATAAATCATCTTACAAATATTCTAATAAATACAAAAAGAATTATTCACCTTCAAAATCAAATAATAAATTCTATACTAAACCCAAAAAGAAATATTATAAGAACTCTCATCCAAAATCTAAATCTAATAAAGACATTACTTGCTATAACTGTGGTAAAAAAGGTCATTATTCTAATAAATGTAAAGAAAAACAAAATCTAAAAGATAAAGTTAATCAACTCCACATTGATAATGAATCAAAAAATCAATTATATGAAATCTTTCAATTAAACCAATCTGTTAGCAATTCCTCTTCTGATAATCCTGCTACTTCATCTGATTACCATTCATCCAGTGAAGATTCTGATAATAATATTAGCTTAGGATGTAATGATGTCTGTTG